TATTATTTAAATGATGGAATAAAATTAGATTTCTGTATTAGAGACATGTAATAATCTCGATTTTCAGCTAGGATTGGATTGGATGTATTTTCCCGATTCGCCAAATAATTCGAACACACTGTATATGTTCGAAGGAGTGCGTGTTCAAATGAAGACATGAAACAGGTAGACCTACACAGTATCCACTAAAAGAGGCTATCTTGGAGTGGTAAAAGTCGGTCCCGACCGATGGACAGACATTATTTCTTCTTGATAACACGCAAGAGATGTTAATTAAGAAATGAAGCTACCGAGGGCCTAATGAGACGATCGACAAATTAAAAATAAACCGACAGCACAGCGGCGTACATTTTATCTTAAAACTAAGTCATAAGATCTACTAGAGGAATTATTACAAAGGCTAGTTGAGAATTATTCAACAGCATAAAAGCCCTGCGAGTTATGTTCAAATTTTAGTGGATATTTCAGTACACAAATATGTATATCCCTGATAGAAACTTGATTTCTGAAAATGAAACGCTCAGACATCTTTCTAAATAACATCTGATCACGAAGTAGCTGAATGCAAATCAAAGCGATCTGTAAAAAAGGCTCATCACCATCAAGTGGAAGAGGATTCCGGGGAGGACATAAAGCCATAAACGATGTGATTTAATTGCGCAAAATGGAGATGCAAATGCAGTAGCGCACTCTCGGCGATCGTTATTCATTCCGGGAGCATTTTATGCGAGCGTAGGTATAGGAATAAAACGTCTATATCGTAAAATATGATTCGTTAATGATTTCGATTTTGCCGGCGATTTATTTTTATAACGAGTCAAAAGGTCTAGGCAATTCTCTAGGAATGTCATTTTTCGCTCAATTTCAAAGATATGGGGTATATTGATAGAAAAATGATTAATGCTAAACACTAGTTCACTAACAAGAATTAATTAACATTAATTACACCTAATAACTGGGAAGGCAATTAAAATTGTTGACATGCAAATCAGACCATTAGTACGTTCCTATTTAAACGAAATAAATTCATTTAATCACTACTCAATCGCATAGCATATTCGTAAATATGCACTGATTTTATGTTAGTTTATACAGTAAACTTAAAAAGTTCTATTGATAGTAACAAAAATTTAATTACTCACAAATAAAATAACATATTAGACAGTACCTACTTAGTTGGAATTAAATCTCATTATGAATTACATTTCATACACATAGAAATCCGAATCGGTACAGGCCGGTTATCAGCCCATCGCCCATCGCCAATAAATTTTCTATAAAATGATGTAAATTGGAATCAATAAGACAGCAAACCTGCACCTGATCCATCAAAGTAAGCCATGCTTGACTCACAGTTGTTATTTTTATTTTACATAATAAAACGAATGAGATAATGAACGATCGATCATAAATAATTAATGGAGTCATGCATTATTGATTCCGAACTATATGATAAAACTAAAACGGCGCAGGATTGGACTAGCGCGCTGTTTTATTCACTTGTTGCATTTAATCGGATGTTGGATATTTTTTAAGAGACAAATGAATTTAATAATTATGGGAGTTATTCGAAAACTCTTGTAGTTAGTAGTGGACATATTTATTACAGAGAAGTAATATTGTTATGATATTGATTTTAGTATGTAATGAAAAGGAGTAATTTTAAACAATCCGCTCCTGCGCTGCGAAGCTACCTCGTTAAAATTTTAATACACAACTTTCCTCGTTCGATCCAAAATAGTCGTCTTTAATTGATGGCTTTTTGTTGACAGAAATCATCAAAAGTCTTGTTAGGGCTACACTTGATCTGACCGTGATTATTCCGTGCCCATACTCGTTTGCCGTATACTAATTTCTTTGTCGTCTCTTTATACATAGTACACATACGCTATATAAATGTACCTTACGAGAAGCAATATAACTAAATATGGAGGATGGCTTTTGTATAGCGCAAACGGTGTTGCGATTGCACTTATTTTTACTTTTTGAAAGATTTTATGGGTTGCTTTCCTTTAAAGTTGATATACTTATGTTGATACGCAGAGGTATTTTCTCACACCAATAATTAGGTAAAACTGTAGGTAGTACTATAATTTAAATATTTCTACTAGTAAAAAAATAATTCACTATAATGAATTAAAAAGACAGTTAAGAATTCTATAAATTTCGTGATAAAATGCGATCATTAAAAACGGTTTTAACAGCGAAATAATACCGCAAGCGAGGGTTTTTTAAAGATCGAACGTTCGCTCATTGGTATTCAAAATCGCAGCGAAAATTTCCACTTTTTTAAGCGCTGCCATTTCTAAACCCGACCGATCCATACATCACCCCATTGACAAGCCGGTTTCGACGCACGGTGGCTATCTGAAACAATAACGATAGCCGTCGTAAATGTACGTTCACCTTGGATTCACAAGAATTTTGAAACAAATCCATAAAGATGGGATGTATTTATCTTTTTCGTCTGAGCAGGAGACAGCTCAGCTCGGTAGCTGAAACGAGAGCACAAAGGCGTACCTTTCTACTCGACAGCGCCATCGATTCATTTACGAATTTCTAATTTACGTGCAATTCGAATTGCTAAGCGGATGTAAAAGCGAAAGCAATATCTTCTAAACGCATAGTTATCATACAAAAAATTTTAATCTAATTTAAAGTATTCATTTGGAACTATTTTAATTGCTAATAAAAGTAGGTATATTATACAAAAAAATGCACAGGAAAAGAATGAAAGTTTATCGAAAATCTAAAGGAACAAAGCTAATAAATAATTTTTGGGTGATTTCCTTTCAATTTTGAATACATATTATCTACATTACATAGTTTGTAACCATGCAAAACAAGAAATTCTCAGGAATATTTTACTGATAACTCAAACAATTTCAATAATGCTCTCAGTTTAATCCTCGCCTGTGTCATTAGAACCCACCCCGATAATCTGCTATACAATGCAGAGAAACTTTAAGCGTAAATCCCTTACCAAAATTGCATCTACTGAGAATGCAATTATTGTATAATCCTGCAACGTTGCCAAATATACAATTTAAAATAAAATCCCCCAAAAAATATTTTTCATAAATCTAAACTAGTCACAGTATGCTCATGAAATATTCTAATACCTAACTTTTTAAATTTTAGTGTTCTCCCTAATAACGCCGCCAATGTTTTTTTATTAAAAAAATCGCTTAGTGCAAGGCGATCTCTTCAAATTTTCTTTCCAACACTATGAAATATGTATTTAACGTGTCTTTGACGTCTAATCTGCGGAACAAAAACGCGAAGCGACAACATAACATTAACATTCTGCGGGGCTGCGGCTATCTTAGCGGGACTAGGTCCTTTTTGCATTGATATTTATTGCACTAAAAAGCTTCCTTTCGGCTACCGATAAAATTCAGAATCGACTACTTTTTGTTACATAATTAAGTACTACCTTATACCTAATTCGCATACAGGTAGATGCAAAATTGTTTGCAATAGGCTATATGGGTGCAACAAAGACAACTTCGGTTAGACTCATATAAAGGAAAAAGAATGAGGGATATTGTGAAATTGCAACTTTCTCACTGTAACCTCTGTTATTTAGATAATCATTCTTTGTTCAACTCATAGAATTGACCTACCTAAATATTATATTGAACATTCAAAAAATTTAGGTTTTCAAATATTTTCGTCCATTCCTTGCATACTGAAAACCAATCAAATTTCGTAAATGCCATTAATTTGATCCCTAAATAAATCCAAAACAATCAAAGAGGATTTACCCGCCCCTATAAATTTACTTTTAATGATTGGGTTTCCTACCAAAAATGGGGATGTTAATCCCAATCTACCTAAAATTAATTTTAGTACTGTATTTACAAATTGAAATCGAGAGAGCCATACCGGCAGTATGAATTATAATGTTGCATAGTGAAGAGGTGTAAGTGCAAATTTGGTACAATGACCAGTCCTACTACAAGTATGGGTTTCATATCGAAAATTAAAAAAGTAAGTACATTTTTATAATTACATGCATGCATTTAAATAGTTTGCAATTAAATTACCTAATACCTACAATTTTGGTTTTTTTAAATATTTTTAAAATTTTCATAAAATGCTGTAAGTTGTAACTTTTACTGTTTAGTAATAACAATGTAAACATTTTTATTTAATTTATTAATAGGAGTAACTTTTTGTAAGATTTGTGGTATTATTCAATAAGTTTGAAGTTGAATTATAATATTATTTAAAATTTGGTTAAACAAAATGTTAATTTAGAATTCATTTTATAGGTAATTACGCAGCAGAAAAATTCCAAGTATTACAAAAAATTTGTAATTATTCTCAAAAAGCAGGAACGCAGATTTCTAGGGAGAAGTAAGTAAATTTACAATTTATTAAATTGCCAATATTATAGGTACCTACTTTTATAATTTCAATTGGTTTCCTATAATATTTCTTTAAAATCGCAATGATTCCACTAATTTGAGTATATTATTATTTTAGAAGGGAAGCGTTACTACCCAAAATTCCGAAATACCAGCGATAAATTAATCGCGTCAGCATCAACAGATGACTCTACAAGCGACAGCGGTATTTCCCAGGATGATTCTCCGGTCGGTCCAGCACCAGTTTCCTTCTTAACAAAAGCTTTCATTGAACCAATACCAACAAAATTCACAAAAACAACGAGCGACGATCTTAATCACAATGAAATTGAAGAAACCGAAAATAATCGTCCGATCGACAGATCTAAAATAGCACAAATTATAGCTATTCAAGATGATATAATAGAAATTGTTGCCAATAATGAAACTTCCATATCATCAAATGATTTTTCAAAAAATTACAATCGTAACGTTGAAGTAGATGAAATTCCTGCTAGCTCCGAAAAATTTAGCCTCAAGGTATCTCTTGGTTCAAGACGAGAACGCACATTTGTTGAAGATATAGCCAACGAACCCCTGCGAAAATGTCGCAAAACCTTAGTACAAGAACCTAGCAGTATCATGAAAATGACTCCCCCGAAGAAACCGCCACGACTTCATTTGAACCTCAAACCAAACACTCCTGCAAAGAATGATCCGATAATATACGCCAACATTCAACCGCAGCCACAGAAAAATCTCCTAACAACAGACTCTTCTACGTTGGAAAAACCGGTAGAGGAAAAAACTTCGCATGACGCTCAAGTTAAAAACGCCATCCTGGAGGTAACCAACGCCCTGAAGAGCACCGTCCAAGGCGATACCTTCGCCAACGATCTCTACAGCGACTTCCGGGACGGCTTGAAGAGAAAAAGACCATCGTCACCTCCGATCGATGCTAAAGACGAAAAATTCGTTGTCAATATTTTTGAAAGCCGTCAGTCCCAAAGATGGAAACGTCAGAGCGTCCGCGTGGATCGCGTTCCCAAAATCAAGATTCTAGATGACCCGCCGAAGGAGATGATTCACAAGCAGCCACCTGTTGACGAAAATGAGGTGAGTACCTACTTTACGATTATTTTCCCGTTGTTGTTGTTGTTACCATTGTTCGGTACTTGATGAGTAACTAAGGTTGAATGTCTCGTTGTCAATAATGTTCAGTTGCGTGCTTATTGTTGCAAAAACGTGTATTAAGATACAACTGCTGTCGAAGTATTTAGTAATAATAACAAAGTTGGTGGAGTTTATTCAATATTCGGGTAGTTGCGTGAAGGAGATTTGCCAATAGTTCATATGTAAGATAAATCTACCAGGAATTTATTAATTCATTAAGAACTTAGATTACCCAATTGAATATAAATTGAGTAAAAATTGGTTCAATTTGAGTGAAAATATTTTATTATATCAGCAAATGTTATCAGGCTAATTTAATTTTGTTTTACATATATTATGTTCTTCTGTGTGATTCATATCTCAACATGCAATTCAATTAATATCATTTTCTAATGCTATTTTGCTCTTAATTTTTTTATTAATATGTTAAGGTTGTCATATTACTTTTATTTTTGATTATTTCAGATTTTTTTTCTCCCATTAATTAATTCTTTTTCAAACAATTATCTTTATGCTTCTTAAAGATTAAAAATTGACCAATTTTAACTAATACTTTACTAATACTTTATAGTTTACGTCATTATTATCGTCCAGATTCTCAGAAATCAATCATAAACAACACAATTTTAGTAAAATTGTCCTTTAATTTACTTTTGTTTGTATAAGCTTGTCTCTAAGAAAACTAATCCTGCAGAGAGCATAACTTCTGTTTATCAAAAATATTCATAACCAAAATAAAAGTAGTAAACAGTAGATAAAAGTACCTAAATAGTAGAGATCTTAGAAAATCATGAATTATTAACTAGTTATAGTTTAGGTTGCCTCAAAGACCGCTCAACATTTTCAACATCAGGTATTTCTGGTAACTACATATGTGAAAATTATAATTAGAATTGTTATCAAAAAATGTAAATTTACCTTTACCTTCGCCCGAAAGAGTGTTCCTACTTTCCGGAAACGAGTTCAACGAGTTGAAGGTCGGATTCTAAATCACCTTGTATATTGTCCGTATTCTCTTGTTATTCCACATAATAAAATGCCAATCTATCGGGCTATTAAAACCCGAAAAGATGAGTTTGTTGCACTATTAGTTTATTTTAGTGTTCATAATTTATTGTTGGGCGATTAAAAATTTTAAGAAACAATTAAAAACTGAAATAAACCGATCCATAAAACACGATTTCTTGAAATTATGCCTACACAAACGTCCGTGACTCAACTTGCGGCTATCTTATATCAACATTAAACGGAATAACCGAGAAAACAGACTTTTGTACAAAATTTCATATTCGTATCGAAAAAGTTTATTCACTCCTATCAACCGCAATTAGTACACAAACATTTTATCAATCGACCGTGATGACACGATGGTATGTGTATTGTTACTATTTCTTTCAGAAGACGGTGCCTACGAACGATGAGATTTACTACAAAATGAAGAAAATGAGAGATATAGAATGTGTGAAAATGAAGGAAGCGTCCAACGCCTTAATGGCAATCAAAAATAACGCCCAAAAGACCTTAAGTGAGGAGCTGCTGGCTGAAACTATTCTGCTGGAAACCGGTAAGTTATCATTTATTTGTTTATCTACATTTCAATTATTGTATAGTCATGTTTTTCTAAAGCGGAATATTTTTAATTTTTTAAGGACTCCGTTACAAAGCTATCGTTAACAAAATCCGAGACTGCATTAACGAAAACGAACCCGTCGTCAAAAAAACATGCGTATCCGCGGGCCTGACTCTGTCGAATTTCCAATTCGAAATTGAACCCCAAGCACAGAAAAAGACGGACAGCACATTTTTCCTGCTGGCGATTTCCAACGACACGGAAATAATAGCCACGAAAGCTATACAGCCTTCAGGAGACAACAAGCTGGCTTTCAAGGAAACGTTCGCCTTGAAAAATTTGAGCGAGAACTTCAAGATCAAAGGCGAGATTTTTTCGATAACATTCAACACCAGGAGACCTGGAATTGTGGAAAAATTACTCCGAAAGGTAAGAAAAATTTATTACTCCTCCATCAACGCTAATTCTAATAAATCGTCGATGCGGATCATCTCACATTTCCTAACTAACTGGTGAGAACACATGTTTTTGTTTAGAGAGGTATTTGTTTGAATTATGGCCGGGAATACATTAAAACTAATGAGTTCAGATTCTTTCAAATTTCTTTTTTTAACTAATTGCTCACTTATTTAAATTATGCTAATTCTAATGGATTTATAACGAAATGTGAAAAGATTTCAATGAGAACGTTTACACTTCTATTTAAAGACCGGTTTTAAATTACACGATCAACGTGGAAGATAAAATCGGTATAGAAAAATTAGTGATTCAATGTTTATTATACTCTTACATATTTAAATTTATTCTAAACTTAGTGACTTTTGGACACATAAAAGGTAGTAGAATTTATAAGTTTGAAAAATCTTGGAGTTTCCCATAAAATATTTGTTAAAAATGAACTAATTCAATCGTCATAAATCGATGAATGAGTAGATGTAGATATACAATAGTATTTTTGATAACGACCGGAAACTATAAAAACAAGTAGGATCATACAGGAGTATGAACAACATTAAAAATAATTTGAATTCATCGAGTTTTTGGAGATTTGTAATTAAATTTTGGCCCCTAAATTTTATTATTTTTGTAGTACAATGACCTGGGAATAAATTCGAAAAAGTTTCTTAAAAGTGCTGTGTAAACGTACACCTAGAAAAATATAAATCGCTACTAGGTGTCGCGTATAAAATAAATACAAGCTGTCTTCTACAAAAATATGATAGGATTGGCGTTATAATTTTCGTTCAGCTATTCAATAAATTCGGATAGTCCACTTTTCTTAACTGTTTTAAATAATTGATCCAGTATGTTTTTTTCTACATCGGGATTATGTTTTTTCGAATAGCTAGTAGGTACATAAAATAATCAAATATGTAAAAAGCCATGCTAATTTATGTAAATTGGAGCTTTGTCAACAGCGAAGTCGAATTCAAGGTCTCGTTATATTTAATTCGATGTTCCATATTTTAACGTTACCATTTGCAATAAGGATAATCAAAGAATCATCAAATGCTTTACTAAAATAAATTTATCTTGTTTCAGAAATCTAAATACTACCATTCGATCAACAAAATCTACTACGAGAACGTCAACACCTACGAATTACAAGAGTCAGCGATTATAAAATCATCCTTCACATCCCGCGGAGAATTCACAATGACCAAGAAAGATATTTACAATTCGATGTTTCTACTGACCAATTACGACAGTGACAAACTGAAAAACGTGGTCTCGATGACCGCGTCGCTCGATTACATGAATTTAAACGACAAACTTTCTGGTTTCCTGACGCTGGGAAAGGTGAACGAGCAACAGTACATTCACGATTGGGAGAGGAAATGGTGCTCGTTGGTAGACAAGACCTTTTCCATCTACAACTACCCACAGGACGAGGAGCAGGAGAAGCCACCGGTGGCCGTTATAAATCTGGAATACTGCTTCAACCCGATCGCGAGGAAACCCCAGAATTGTCCGAGGAAACGGACGTTTGTGATAAAAACTGGCCGACCCAGCACGATGAACGACAGCAACTGCAAGCATTTGAAGAGGAAGAACAATTTCATTTTGAACAAATATTACCTATCGGCTGATAACAATAACGATTTTGAGCAATGGACTTCCAAACTGGACAGCGCCCTCGACGAATTGGACCAATGGGGAAGGCTCATATTTAAGGACGAATCATACATGTAAATGAATTGAATTGAACAAAACAAATATTGGAAATTTATTGCAGTTTTATGTAGTGAATAAATTAGTTACGTTTAACACGTTATTATTTGCCTATTCCATAAAATTCCCCAAGGAAAATCTATGCAATTAACAATTAATAAACAATGACGTATAAGTGCTCGTTATTAATATGTTATTAATTAATTCCTCGAATATCGTATACCTTACTTTATTTCTTTTATTTGCTGTAATATGCTTTAAGTACGACACGATTCGAGTAGAGTCTGGTTGTTGACAAGCGCCGACTTGAGTCAATGCTCAGGCGTTGCCATTCGATCGGACATCAATGAGCAATATAAAAATAACATCGAAGGTTTATTAAGTCATAGCGAACTTTAAGTAGATTAAAAATCGTCTTCGGTACATTTATTAATAATATGCTTCGGTATTATACGGTCGGAGATTTTTTATGATGTCTTTGCAGTACGGTACTATCGTAGGACGACATCAAATTGGGTCGTTTCGAGCTTTTTAATGGATATCTCCATCAATTTGGGATTTTATTGGCTCAGTTGGCAGACAAGGTGGAATTTGCTCGTAAACAGGAATAGAATATATTAATGCGCGCTTGTGCGAAATGAAATCTGGACCTCCGACTTTTATATTGGCCTTTTATATAAAATAAAACTAAATTTTATGGGTTATTAAGGGCTGAAATTTGCCATTAGTTAGCTAAATATTGGTGAATTCCTGTGGTTGTATTGGATTTGAAACTAAAGAAAAAATTGTATATGGTATATTGATGATAGAATATTGTAGGTTGTAGGTTGGTTTTCTTTATAAAAAATTGATTTGTTAGGCACATGTATGCCTACTCTAAATTTTCTTATTTCACAGGTAATAAAACATGCCCAACCTTGCCGGTTTATTTAGTTGTCGGTTAAGAGAATTATTTTGGCGTAATAAAAGCTCTACTCACGCAATCTTCAATTAAGACTTTATAATGTTTGTTCTATGTAAATGAAGCTTGTTCTTTTCAAAGATTTATACGCGTATATTGGCACAGGCCTCCTTTGAAACGGTACCAGCGCTACCGACTTACGAGCGCTCCGGTCCCATAAGTTAAATTTACGGTGTTTTTAATTTTCAACCGAAGCAATTAACAATTCGAAATGTTTAAATGGAACTCGTTTTAGATTTAGAGGAAACAACGAATTTAGCGGAACATTTTTCTGGTTGAAATCGGCCTCGACGGATGCTCAATATTAATGAGACCTAATGACTAGTAACATACCACGAGATTACAGGTGCCAGCAAAAAATTCACGCCAAGTGTCGGTATCCGTTGGAGACCAACAGTAAACCAATAATAGCACGAACTTGGATAGATTATGGACGGAATTCGGGGAAAAAAATGACAACCGCCGGCTAAACAGCCGTATGGTCACGCAACACACGATCATCTATTGTTAGGCAGACATAAACCAAAAGGAGGAATGGAACCATGCTCATCAAAATTTGATAAACCAGTGTCGTCTCGCATCAATTTTTCTTAAAACACACCAAACATAATACCTACAACACTATACTACACCTTTGTAAAATCTATTACATTTTCGGTACTTTTAGTTAACAACCCAAACATTTTTTTTATGGAAATACAATTTGTCGAGCCGTCATCGTAAAGTCCTCCAACGACTTTTACAACCGCGTTTACAATGTGTAAAATTTTGATAACAGTTTAATATTATATCCATATCCAACGATGATGACTCGATTTTTATGTTTTAATATTTTTATGTTGGCCGTAAAGTCCGAACTAAATAGGCGCAAGGTGGTTCCGAGATATTAGGTCTTCCGAAGCGGCAAAAAATTAATAAATTATACGCTTTATTTCTGATATTTTTCAATGAAGTTATTAAAGCGTAATCAAAATCGTGCGGTGTCAATTCGAAATTTTCTCGCGACTTTTATATTGCATGTCGTAAAAGTTAAACGGCCGCGTCTAATTTATTGGCTTTTTGGAAAATACTTTTATTACGAATAATTCTGCTAAGTGAGTGGGGTGATTATTTATTCGAAATTAACAAGCGTATAATATATGGACGCTAAATTAAGAATTCGTTACAGAATAAGTTTTACAGATTTACAAGAGTTGGATAAAGATACTTTTCAAAATAAATAGTTTCCCAAAGAAACTAAAATCAAGTTATTAATAATAATAATTATAAAAATAATATAATATTTAGGTACATACAGTACATAGGCCATAGGTGCGATAAACACAACTTCAATTAGACACTTATAAAGGAAAAGGAAAGAGTCACATTTGTGTCATTGCAACTTTTCACTCTGACAACTGTCATTTTAATAATCTTTCTTTGTTCCACTCATAGAAATGGCCATGTTGCAATCGGAAATGGAGCAAGGTGTATACAGTATTCTTAAACGCAACAGTAAGTGTATAAAACGAATTTGACCCCACAGAAATACCTAAATCAAGTAAATCTGCGGTTAGGTAGGCAAATGAATCATTTTCTGTTATTTTACGATTAATATTCCTATAAACTGGAATCAAATTAACAAACAAATTCAATTACGATTCTATCTGTCTCTATCTAGTACGACCCTGAGTTTATAAAGACTGCTAAGATCAACCTGCCGCGAAATTTATGCGGAAAGTACTAGTTATATATCTTAATTGTATTTATTACGTAATGGAGTGCATTTGTCATAGTGTTTTAATGAATCATTTCAGTCTAATTGATTCAAACGAAGCATTATACAATTTACATTATAGGCATTGCATTTTACATAATAAAAATCTTAATTGTTGTAAGTTACTCGATAAACTATCAATTGTCTTGTAAAATTTTTACCTACAAAACAATCATTCCTCAACGCCTAATATTATGCTAAGAAACTGCACGTTCAGACAATTTAACTAATCTAAAATCGCCCATAACTATCAACGTAAGAGAGTTTCCATTTTCTCGAGCTTCCCGTCTTAAAACCGAGGAAAATAATAATAATCAGGTAGTAACTGCTAAACGAGTGTTATTGAGAAGATCACAGCCTACCGTAAGAAAACGAAGGCCTTCAAAAATTGATGATATATTAAGACCAGCGAGTGCTACTAGTATGTAAAATACCTCTTCGTAATCTATATGGAGCGATGTATATTATTTTGCCCCGAGGTACAACTTTCGATATAGTGGCCGATGTAAAGGAAGATTACGAATATAGAATCGGTTACCTGGTGATCAAAACAATTCAGTCTCGCCGAGGCGAGGTGCTTATAATATAGTAAGTATGAGGTAGAATATTTCACAAACATTGTCAATAATACCAATTAAAAAGGATGTCCATCGCGTGGAAAATCATCCGGATTAATTGGAGATTCAACGCAAAGATTTAACTTAAAAAGGGCTATATTCAATAAAATAACTATCTTGCGATTAAATTCTATGTATGTTAATTTAGAGTTGATATGATAGGTAATCTTCATTAACGATCTTTGATCAGTGAGTTAGATAATTAATATCATTATAATTTAACCAAGAAAATCGTAAAATTCTCTCAATAAAGCATGAATTAAAATGACTACGTCTCATACATTAATCGAATAAAATTTTTACATAAATTAAATTGTTTCTACTATAACATATAGCAAATCTAATTTTATTCACCGTGTATAAAGCTTTCCGTCTTCTTCTTGTAGTTCTGATATTACACAGCCTACGCGAAGTGTGTCGTTAATGATATATGCGAAGATATTAAGAATGCGCAGAGGTGGTAGCCAAGATGGCGTACAGCCCCTGGCTACTTTGCTTATTATTATTGACTCCTTTCTGGCTGCATGTGTGCTTTTTTTCAGAGGCCAGACTAATTTATTAAAGATTACCTTAGGAGTTTCGAACACTATTAATGCTCGTCGATTTTCCCCGATTCGATGTTTCGAATTTATAACGAACTTCGAAATTTTTAAGCGTTCTTCTCGGAAATTCTAAAGAATAAAAAATTATAGTGGGATTGAAGATTAATAATTATTTCTAATTTTTATACATACTATAACTTGAAGTGATGGACAACATATTTTTTTAATGCATTTCACTCACGCGACTTCTCAAGAAAATTGTTTCTCTGTAACTAAATTACAAAAGAGGGATAATAAGTAATAAAACTACTGAAAATACTCACTATAAATTCACTAACTTATTAAACAAATCTCATTGGTATTCTTAAACCTACGATTTGTCGATGAATGGTATATTTTCGAGATCAATTTTCTCGATTCCCTTCATACGAAATCACTGCGTATAGCGTTACCGATGAAAACAAAACGCCGCCGAATGCACCTGTAATTCGTCGCTGCAGCGTTGCTACCATTTAATTATTATTGTCAGGACGATGATTGACAGTTTTTATTTTATTTGTAGGAAACTGCGGGAGACTGTGTTTACGACGAGAGAGACAGAAGTGTGACAGACTCACGCTCTAATTATAGAGTTTGTCAAGGAGCAGATGAATGGGCGGGCTGATGAGTACGTAGGAAACTATTTCGGTGCAGGGGCAGTCTGATTTTGTATGGTAGAACCTCTAACAATCAATTTAAATTTCTATATTCATTTCTAGATGGTTTATTTCTAATGCATTGCAGTTTAAATTAATGAAGTTCTGAATGATAATCAAGGAAGATACCTCAACATGTGTAATATTGGAAAAGGTGTTTCAAAAATTACAAGAGAGCGTAATTGGAATTTCGGAGTGGTCTGTAAAAAATGGGAATCTCTTGTTAATTACATATGTAAGATTTAACAATCTATTATTTGCATGTTGGTATAACTAAACTGTGGAAATCCCAAATAACAAATAAATTACTCTTACTTATTCATATTGCATCGTTTATACCTTAAAACCCACCTTATCCAGTAAATTAATTCAATACCTACATAAATCATTTTCACAACAAAAATAATGTATCATATTCCTTCCCAATCCTTTAAAAAACATACAGTAAATCATAGATATTTTCGCGGATTCTCCTATGTACATTCAAAT